GTTTTGCAATAGAAAATCATATGATTTATGTTTTCTACTGCGACTATGATAAGAATTTGACCCCCCTCACACTTTATTTCGAATAAAACATTTGTGCCATATCATTTATGAGAATTTCAGCAACACAGGATTTTAAAATCATTTGTCAAAATTGACATATCTCGGCATGATTGTGGGTATAAGTAAAGTGTTAAGAGCTGTCAAGCATAAGTATATAAGTGAGTGATGCTGCATATGCGGCATGTCTGATATATGGCAAAAAAAAAAGGAATTTATTTTTTTTTTTAGAAAATACAATAGAAAAAATCAAATTTGATTAATAATCTTTGCACTTGAGAGTCACACTCACAAAAATTTAATTAAATCTAGTCAATATATTCTACATGAACACGTATATTCGGTACATATTCAGTACTTCCATAGAATTACCTCTGGCCCAGCTTTAGTTGTAAGCACTTGCAAATAAATGCTTAGTCGTCGTAATTTAAGGCTATTGCTCTTTAAGAGCATAAATTCTTATCGATGACATGGCATTTCTACATAAATCAATAGAACATATGCACTTAAACTGATACGCATAAATTAGAATAGAAATAGCATACAAAAGTGCTGTAATATAGCATAACATAGTGAATAGTACATATTTCTGTCTGTACAGACAAAAAAAAAGTAACACAGCAATGCGACAAAATTTATACTCACACACACACACACACACACACACACACACACAAACACACTAACATTGTCATACATAGAAAATTTAATGCGTTGCAGTAATTGCCGTAGACGAAAATTGCACTTAAATCGCAAGGAGTAAATATCAACCCAAATAAATAAAGAGTCTAGGAAAGGAATATTACGATGAAATGAGAGCACCACCAACAACAAGAACAACAACAACAACAACAACAACCATTATAGTTACTAGGTACAAACAATATACATATACCATAATTAAAGTCTCAAGTAAAATCTGGGCATATACGAGGAATAAGCTAAATAGGAAATCTGTGTTTCAGCAAGGACCTTACTTATCGTTCACTGCAACAGAAACTTATGTCGCTGCAGTAAAAATAGCACATTTTTTATCATTACAATGCAGCACTACAATACGACTATGAGCAACAGGAATATGAGCCAAAATACAACAACAACAACAACAAGACTAGGAATACAACAATACAACATTATCAGCTACAATGTGGCAACATTAAAACGATATCCAGAACATGCATAAATGTCAGCAATAGTACTTGCCGCCTATTAGACGTTACCAGGGCGCCTAACAGTGTGGCCATACAAACAAAATGTAATGATGCAAAAAAAAAAAAACAAAAAAAAAATAAATTAAAAAAGACCGTAATAATAATAAAATAATTATAAAATAAAAAAAGAAAAACATTTATGAAAAAAATTTAAAAAAATAAAATAAAACTCCATACAAATATTAACTACTAAAGGCGACTGAGATGGAAGCAACAAAAATAAAAAAAAAAAAAACAAACAAAAAAACAACAACAAAAATAAAATGTAATTAATTGTCAACTGAAATACATTTACCCGTTAAGGATTATCCTGATATTGTGCTTGATAATGTTGTGGCTGCTGTTGGTGGTGTTCCACTCGTTGTTGTTGCCGTTAACACTAGTTATGTTGGTTATTGGTTATGGTGTTGCCAACGAGTTGGCATACGCATGCAACAGACGCCAACTGCAATTTGTTTCTGTTTCTGTTTCTGTTTTATTTTTAATTTTTTTTATTTTTTTTTTATTTTTATTTTTTTTTTTTTGGCTTGTAGACGCGTTTGTATGTGGTCCTGGTGTGCCACAGCTGACACCATTACAGCGAGTTGCATAAATCAATTACAAAACAAACTTTGTAAAATAATAAAAAATTGCATTAAATAAAATTTATACAAAAAAAAAAAAGTATAAGAAATATAAGTTATGTGAACTCAAGCAGTTATGCTACAAATGGCTTTGACATTATATTTATAGTTCTAAAGGCAAAAGATATATATATGTAGAGGTACTTGTAGCTATACTCGTTGATACATTTATTAAGTTGGACACAGCTTCTAATAATAATTAGAGCATATCTGTGAAATAAACGTTTTAAATTAATTTAAAATTTGATTTTTTTTTAAAAGTTATTAAAAAGTTTTTAAAAGTTATAAAAGTTATTTGACAGAAAATTTACTCGTTAGTTTGAAAATGTGCTCCTCTTTTCTTTTTTGATTTTTTTGTTACTTTACTTATGGCACTGATATTATAGCAAAAGATAATTCAAATAACTTACTTATAATTTATAATACTATGTTTCCTTAATTTCGCAAAAATGTTGTTAAGTTAATTTCGAAAGTGTACATATCACTCCAAATTAAGGAAATCATAGGTTTTTTGTTCACTAATCTAATGTTAAAAATTACATCTCCAAACATCGTTAGTATCTGGTAAGTATAAAGAATGGTGTTCAGTAGTTTTATTACCATTAGTGCATTTCAGGTATATGAATTATTATTTTTCACTCTATTTTAAATTAATAACAGTTACAATTTTTTCTCTATATTCAAATTTAAAAATTTGCACTACTTTCAAAACATTTTCCCGGTTTCATTAAAGTCCATTGTCACTGATATTTATATTAAAAAAATGTCCCTTTTTCATTCTCTCAACATTATCTTTTACTGAAAATTTATCTTACGCATAGTTGCATTTAAAATATCCCTTAGGATATTAATTTCGTCCGCACCTTTAAACTGATTTTTTATGGAAAGATGAAATTAAGATTATTGTGAAATTAAGGTTTGTCTGAATATAGTATAAAGAAACTATTATCTTAATATTTATAATTTATTCACATATATATAATAATGGTTATAATTAAAAAAATTATATAGTTTGTAGTCTCGATTCCAAATCGAACCACAAACCAAACCTTTTTGGTTTACAACCGACACTTAACATTACAAATACAATAAACTGCACTAATGGTACAGTGTATTCTAAAGTGTATTCTCGAATTACTGAAACGATCAATTAATATTTCACAGGAAACCACCTGAAATCTGTAGTAACTAGTTTTTCTGTGCTTAACCACGCTATTTTCACAAAACCGTTAATTCTAACTAATTGCATGAATAAAACATAAAAACATACAACCTAAATATTTATCAATGAAGTTTTGCAATACTATATATATACATGACTAAATTTTTGGTACCGCCGATCGCCTTAATATTTGGATTTTTTTTTATTTAAAGGGAAGGAGATGGCTAGGGTTGTCTTTTCTTCATTTTACTACGGTCACATTTCTAGTGAGAGTTCATAGCATCGTATGCCCTCACTACTTATACCTCTAAGATATATAAATGTTAATGCAATCCAACAAATAGTGATTTCAAAACGATTTGAAAATATTTTTTTTATTTTTAATTAAACACTTCCCACCTGCTAAGTATGCCAATAATGTGTGTGTAGCGCAAATTTCAAACAAAACAAAATAAAACAAAAATACAAGAGAAATTGAATAAAAAATAAGCGTTAAGACAAATAAGGTTAACAGGTTGAAATGGAAACTGCCACCAAAACACAGGGCAGATCCTTACAAATACTTGCACTGTTGGGAGTCTGCGACAGACTCACCCAAACGTACGTCTGCCAGCTGAATGCATGCTTGCAATTGCATGCGCGTGCATATGTAGTATACATGTAGAGTATAGTGTGCTTATAGTATCCTTGATTAAAGATAAGAATGCATTGACAAAGGAATTTTCGGTAATACAATACAATATGAAACAAAATAGATGAATGCTGTTGCTTGGTGTTGTTGTAGCTGTAGCTGTTGCTGTTGCTGTTGCGATTGCGATTGCGTTTGCTTCCCCACCAGGAAAATGACAGTTGCTAGTAATAAAAGGACATTAACTATGACATAACAAAAGCAGCATGAATTACAACAACAACAACAACAAAAACGACGAGAAGAATGTTGAGCGCCAGGGACAAAGAATGGCACCAAATGCGATAATCAAACCAGTGTGCACATGTGACTCGTTGCAATACTGCAACTCGATTCGACTCCACAAAAATTTGTTTAATTAATTACTTTTTTGTGGTATGTTAACTGCACACACTCCACTGTATGTGGGTTACCTGACGGTAGGGTGACGTACATACACATGCATTCCTCGCTTGCATATGTCGCTTATTTGATTGTGCGCTTGTAAGCGACATATACACTCGCTTGCAAGCTCGTTATAGACAAAGTGATGCCACCTTTTATAAAGTTGCGTTTTATCATAAAAGTCGGTAACAAACAGTTTACCTCAATTTACTCGTATATTTCAAATTTTATCTTCTGCATCTCCGCATATTTTGTGGGATTTTATATGCATATAGAAAACATAAATTTATTTCCTTTCAGCTTTCGACGTATACGACATGTGTGTGTATGCTTGTACGTCTGATGTTGAGGTATATGTATGCTCTATGAACGGTGAGAAATTTTTCACTTGCAACTTCAAAATAATTCACATAAATTCTATTAGACTAAGGACAACTCAAAAACAACAACCGCAACAGCAACAACAATAGTAGCAGCAACGTCAGCAAGAACAATTCTAATAGATAAAAAAATGCTGTCTTGTAGCACGTGTGGTAGCCTTCTTTATATTCGTTTGACACTAATGGTTAAGATAAAATTTTTGCATTACTAAATTATGACAAATGCAAAATATTTGCTTAACTTACACGCATTCAAAATTCATTTGTGCAAAATACATCAAGAATTCAAAGCGGAGAGACAGAAAGAAAGACATGCAGTCGGTTGAAGTTGCATGGAACTATAGTGCCGTTAACATATATATATATATATAAGTGACATTAAGCTCTCTCCCAACATCATTAAATTGAACAAAAAAGAACTTGCTGCGCTAAGCAGGTAAAACCTTTTTTTAGTCAGTAGAAGTTAAGCTTGCATCGTGCAAAGTACTAATAAAGTTTTCATTTAAAAAATAAAAAAATCGTTTTTATTGAAAATTGTCACTGGCGCAGTCGGTAGGATGATCTCAAATAGGGAGGCAACTACCAGTCTGCATCCTCGTCGTACTCTGACACTTCGATGCGGAACGGTACATTGATGTTTTGCAATTTACGGTGAAAGACGCGGCATAAGGGATTTTGTTTTAAATCTACTAACTCCAAGCAATCACTGGTCACCATCTCATCTGTGTCGATTTCTATGATGGCGTTATTGCTGGCGTCCAATTCGCGTAATTTAGGCATTTTGAACACAACTGGTGGCAGTACAATAAATGAATTGTGTGAAATGTTTAAACGTGCCAAGGAGTTCAAATCTGCCAACTCATCTGGTATTCTGGACAATTGATTGTGTGACAAGTTCAAATCTGTTATTAAATTAAATTTAAGAGCGAATTTTGGGGGTATCTTCTTAATCACATTGCAACTGAGATCGCAAGTCTTAAGTTCTGTGTTTCGCATCAAATGATAAACGGCATCAGGTATGTGCATTAATTGACACTCAGACAAATCCAATGTATTGTTTTCTTGTGCATTTTCGCAACGTTCCACAACTTTCACTACGGCGTGCGCCATTCTACGCAATTTGCTTGCACTTCAGTAAATTTTATAAAAACTAATAAAATATATATTCACTTTTTATTGATAAAATATATTTGTAAACTATTAAAATGGATTAAAAAAAATTAAAATAGATTATATTAATATAATTAACGTATATTTTAAAAAAAAAAAAAGAAGAAAATTTGAAGAAATTAATGTCATAAATGAAATTGTATTTTTTTTTATTATTTTTATATATTGTATTGTATAAATTTATATCAATTAAAACAGATATTATTATTACAACTATCCTTTATAAAATATAATATAAAATATTATAAAATATATGAAATATTATGTGTATTTAACGCAATAGGAATATTGCTTATTTTTAAGGTGGGAGGAGTGACATTAAGCTCTCTCCCAACATCATTAAATTGAACAAAAAAGAACTTGCTGCGCTAAGCAGGTAAAACCTTTTTTTAGTCAGTAGAAGTTAAGCTTGCATCGTGCAAAGTACTAATAAAGTTTTCATTTAAAAAATAAAAAAATCGTTTTTATTGAAAATTGTCACTTATATATATATATATATATAGACAAAGTCATTTGGAGAAAATATCCGCATTATTGCCACCTTTAATTTTTACCATCCGTACCTACTTGTGTCGCACTTTTCCCTTCTCTTAACCGCTTGAGCTGATGGATAGGATTGCGTTTGGCATAAGGAGTATTAAAACACTTCCAGAAATATGTGTCTGTATATGAAAAGGGTTGGGTTGTGTTGGGTTAATTTCTGAAATAAATTGAGTGTGAAAATATCTAAAAAGTTTCAAAATGTGGCAAATTATACAAAATGAAGACAACAAACCAAATGTAATTAACGTTAATGGCATTACAAGTAATTAGTAAATTTAATGAAATTGTTCAAGCGGAAGAATCATACAGAAGCTAAGGCGATTATCGCCCAAAAACTACAGAAACAGAATAGATTCCTCATTTTTAGTGATGTAGAAAACTTAATTGACAATTAAGAAAATTTTTTAAAGTTTTTAAATTCTGAAATAAATTCTGTATTTTCTAAATTCTTTAAATTGTTTGTAAAGTAATTGCATTAGCAATTGAGAATGCAGTGAACTACTTATAGCATCGTTTATAGCTCATAAAATTAGACGAAACCCAAAGTTTGTTGAAGCCGAAGAGAAGTCATAAAATAACCAAATAATGTTGTGTTATTAAGTGAAAGCAATAAAATTACAACAAAAGCTAGTTCATCTTATTAGTGATAAAAAGTGCTGTACGGAATATGCGGTTCATAAGACAAAATAATGTACGTGGAATAAACTTTAATAATAGTAAATGTGGGCAGTTCCCGCAATTTATATATTTTGGCATCCGTAAAAGTTGTTGAACTAATTTAGTTCGTAGTTAAGTACGAGGATCCTACTAAACAGTGACTTAATATACTCATTATGCTTATAGCTAAAATATTGAAGACACACTATTTCTTTAGCAAATAGCAATACCTTCTCTAAGTTAAAAACCCATAACGATTAAGGTTAAAATGGTAAAGATCCGGTACGAACTCAATATTACCCAAGAGAGATCCTCATTTCAAAACCGCCACTGAATGTTAACTTTACAAACTTGCCCTAATAAAGGCTGAATTGATAATGATTCACTACATTACTAGTTAAAGTTAGGCGAATACAAACTCAAAATTATGAAGAGAGGCCCTCCGCTACAAAACCCAATAAAAGCCGAACAGATTGCGATCCATCACTAGTTGGATAAATTACCACTGTAATGCGAAGCGTACAACCAGGCAACGAAATGGCTAACTGTTTCAATAAATGAGAACCATAAAAGAATTGGTTGGACTTAAATTATTCTGTACTCTGATATGACACACTATTACCTATAACGCAAAAATTTAGATACAGGGCATACTTCTAATTTGAAAATTATGACATAAACTATAAAGACCAGAAATATCTAAACCCGTTTCAAATAGACTCATTGCACTGAGCAGAGAGCATAGTAATGAGGTGGTCTTTACTATGACCACCTATGACTACTATGAGTGGATTTTTATACATAATTTTAATATCTGTAACGATATTTTAGGTATATGCATTAAGTCTTTGAATATTCATGTATCTCTTGTTTGTATAACCATTATTGTAAGTTTTCTATATACATTACTGTACTATAAATAAATGCAAAATTAAAGACTTAATCAGTAAAACTTAAATAGGCTAAAGTTATTTGTTAAAGTTATTAGATATTTTAATATTAGGATTTTACATACAGAGAAGTAACATTGACTCATAAGTGCGACTTTGGTCTCAGAAAATACTCAGAAGCTTTATAGCACACAAGCTAACTTTCAAAAATTAAGTTAATAATTCCATTAGGGTCAATAGTGTCGTATTAGTGTTTTAAAAAGAAGGAAAAACATTTAATGCAGGAGTTTCAAAATATGTGGTTGCTTTATGATACATATAACCTAGTTTTTGAAGTTGATTATAGATTGTAGGGAACTTATTTTCAAAGCTGTTAAATTAGGATTCCTCGCCAAATTAGTTATTATGACAGCTAGATAAGTTAATATTCCTCTTCACTAGATAAACTGAAAATTAAAGCAACTAATCTTCTAGTGTTAGACCATCTTTGTTAATATTAATTGTTTACCCTGAAAAAGTGTGTTCATATATATGTAAAAGACTTAGCATATACTATATAAATTCAATTTTGCTTGAATATGGAACTCGAAACAAATTAAATTCTACATTTTGGATCGAATCAAATCTAATAATTATCTAATAATATATTATAAGTATTTGTGCCACTCAACCCTATTGCTAAAGTTAATTTATAAATACATAATAAAATAACTATAGATTAAATGTGTTAACTAACGGCAACAAAGAAGTATTAAACGATCAACAGTGTAAGCTACCAGCAACAAAAATATTGAAAGAAAAATAATGCCAGTGCTACTTAGAAGCATTAAAAATGAAGGTTTGACTGAAAAAATTTAACGTTGAGCCAGAAAATTTTATGTGAAATGTTACTGTTTAACAGAATGTTCAACAGACAATATGATTTTGTGTCTTGTCCTTTTTTTCAAAGTGCAACTATCTTAACTTACACATAGAAGATCAAAAATCTTTGGGGCCCCAATTCTGACCGATCTGACTGAGCTGTCATCGTACAATGTTAGAGACCTAGCCAGATTTATAGAATAATCGCGTTGGTTTTTCTTCACCTAAATGGTGGAGTAGTTGCCTTTTTCGGCGTTGGTCGTATACTGATCACCTTGTCTATGTATAAACCAACGCTATTCCTATGGTACCACAACGTACCATATTTGAACTCAAGTGGGCGTTCTTGGTACATAAGGCCGCCAGTTCAACTTAACCTTACCTAACTTACACATTTATTGTCCTTAACATAAAGGAGAAAAATTAATTTGAAGTTGTTGTCTATGAAAACTCAACATCATTGGTAATTAGTTGCCTTGAAATGCATTCGAATATCTACCACTGTTCTCGGTCAGTGGTTTTCTCCACCATGTTTTCTTCCTTTCACTCTGAAGGGAAATTCAAAAACTTCAACTTCAATTAATAAAATAAAATTCTATTTCATTATGGCTTTACTTTGAGCAATCAAATCTTAAGTTTTTGTTTATATTATTCATACAAATAATATATTTAACCCCCCTCACCATCCACGCTACTTCTAACGAACCAACAGTCATAATTTAATTTTGCACCTTTCGCATTATTTTCTTCCTTTCATTTAATTCCCTTATCCTTATCTAAAGCCTTGCTGGCAACTTCAACTGTGTGGATTATAAAATGAAACTGTCAAAACTTTTTAAAATAATTATTTTTTTAATGAAAACGAATCTAAAACACTTTCTATAATTTGTAAAACAAATATTTACAATTCTACTTTTACAGCTTCCTTTACGGGTGCTCTCTGCTCTGCTTTGCTCTGCTCTGCTTTGCTGTTCACCGTTCCATCTGCTAACGTTACTACTCATGATGAATCTTTGCAACTTAACTGAAGCCTTCGGCATAAATCAGCAAGTTCTTTATGCACGCAGCCTTCAAATAAAATTACTAAAAACACAGAAAATAGTAAAATAAACACAAACAAAATTGTATAAAAAACGAAATCAAGAGACAAAAAAAAAGTATATATATATAGAAAAATAGGAAAGTAACTAGAATGCTGTAGTAGTAGCAAATAACAACAAAAACAATAGCAACAACAACAACAATCAACTTTCCAAAGTAGAGTAATCAAATTTAGCGACCGACCCACTTGTCAAAACTTAAGTCAACGCAAAACGTATACGTAACTCAAGCACTCATAGCGGTTAAATTGTCAACACAAAAAAGAAAATTAAAGAAAATAAAATAAATATTAAAAGCAAAAACAGAAACAAAAACAACAACAAACCCAAAAAAAAAACAAAGCAAAAAATAATAGTAGTAGTAAAAGTAACGGTTGAAAGAAGAAGCAGCAGTGAAGGACACCTGCCAACGTGACTGGTTTGATTTGATTTTGTGTACGCGTGTACGTACTGTCACATCGCAGCATTGCTTGTTATTGTTATTATTATTATTGTTGTTGTTGTTATTGTTGTTGTTGTTTTTCATCTACCATCGCCTTTGGGCTGGCTTCACACAAAATATTTTACTCGTTGCCAATATTTAGTTTTGATCAGTGAAAAGTTGTATTTTTGTTTTTACTTTAACGTTTTTGTATTTTTGTTTTTGTTCCTATTTTTTTTTAAACTTCCTGCGTTGCCAATCAAATTTGATTTGTTTGTTTGAGCTTTTAGCGTTTTGGCCCAAAGTTTTAGGTCGCGTTTTAGGTCATTTTTACCAATTCTCACATTTTTGTTTTTTTCATATTTTATTTTACAATATTATTTTGTGTTTTGTTTTTTTTGTGTATTTGTTGTTTGTTTTTAATATTGTATTTATTTGTTGAAGTTTTTTTTTTTATTTTGTTAATACATTTCGTTGACAGTTATGCCTTTGATGGACGACTCTTATTGAGCGCTTTCGTTTTAATTAGATTTGCT